CAACATTTGCCCTCCTCCAGTCCGCTGGGACCTCTCCTGTTTTCCAGATAACCGATAGATCTTGATGTTGCATGCCCCTTCTCTTTTCTGCAGGAAGAAAGTAGTGATTGAACTAGGATATAGTTTTTGGAGAGTTTTAGAGATGAATCTCTCCAAATACATGACTGAGACCCATCTCCTCGGCTCAGAGAGATCTCAATTCCCTTCTTTCTAATTCCTTAATTTTATTTATTTATTTAACTGGGGCTATTACAGAATACAGCATGAGCAATATTGGGAATTTCTGGACATACTCATTGATTTTTTGAACTAATGAAAATTAAAAATATATGGGATATGAGGAACTTGGCTTACAAATGGTGGCTAGGTTCCCAGGGGATACCTTGGTTATGTTAGATTCCCCAAGAAACAGAAAACACATACACACCTTCTCATACCCAACACAAAAGCTACACAGAAGATGTATCCCCTTCCTGAAACACACAGACATACACAATCTCTCACATATGTTAAATAATATAAAAGAGACCCCAGCATAACTTGGAGATAAAAAAATCAAGGAACAGAATAGTGACTGGGACAAGTGATATCCGGAGCAGAAGATGGTTTGGGAATCCTGATTTTCTTAAATGGTCTCTTTGTGTGGCACACATGCAGAAAGACAGGTGGGCACTTGATATGCCATTCTTGCTCCAGTAACAACTAGACTGATGTGTATAGATGCAATGAACTGAGCATCCTATTTTTAAGTAGGGCCCTCCTTTCCTCTTCCCATGTACTGGAATAAATCCTGCTACTGCCTGTATTGTGAGCTATGCCAGAAAGTTATACAAAACTTTTATGAGGGAAGGGTAGGTTTTGGGATTACTTGCTGTAGGATTTGGACCATTAATATTGGGTGCAGTGTTACTCCCTGCACTTTTTAGAATTAAAATATCGTGTAAGTAACTTTGGGACCATAAAGGCACAACCTGTGGTCTTTATGCGGCATGTTGTTTTTTTAAAGTGATATTTTCTTTGAAATTCATTCATTGATGGAAAAAAATTACTAGTAAATTAGTGGATTATGCATTCTCTTGTTTCTGTCACAAATCCTAAAATGTTGTCTAACTAATAACTTTGGTTCTTTTAACCTGTGGTTCCTGTAATGGTTACTAAGGCAACCCAAACAAATGACTTTTTTGTTCACATTTTTTCTTCCTGTTCATAACTACTGCCATAGCTCCATCCTAAAACATTTCTTACTGTGTTGGATTATTCCAAAGGTCCCAATTATATTCTCACATTTTACTGTATTATGGCTCATTGGTGTTGTGCACTAAATATAATTTATAATGTAGTGAAAGCTGATTTAATTTTTTAGAATTGTCTTTGGTAAATTAGAAAGGGATTTTTTTTAAAGACAGTAATGGTAAAAGTAAATAACCCAAGCAGTTTCCTCTTGGGGAAGCTTCAGTTCAAATCTGAACTCATGAAACTCACAAGGTGATCTTGGGCCAATCATTATCTCAGTCTAACTTATTTTACAGGATAAAATTGGAGAGGGCAACTATGTATAATACTTTGGCTTTCTTGGAGGAAAGGTGACATATAAATGTAACACATCAGGGTCAAGCAGACCTGTAGATTGGAGCGGCCTCTGGCTCCTCATTTGGTGCAGGACAACGGTGACCATACACCACAATTCTTTACTAATTTTCTTCTGGAAGAAATCAGTGGGACAAAACGGGTGATGGGTAAGGGGTGGCTTAACACTGGCCCTTTGCTCACTGGATCAGGGCGACAGCAATAATAATAATAATAATAATAATAATAATAATAATAATAATAATAATAATAAATTTATTTATAGCCCGCCTCTCTGCACAGCAATCGAGGCGGGCTACAACATTTAAAACAAACAAGTTAAAAACATCCCCCCTCCCATAGTCCACCC